ATTAAGTTATCCAATTGGTAGTTGTCCTCAGGAGTATATTCTGCAAGTACACCAAGCATGAGATTATCATTGCCATTCTCTCTGAGAACTTGGACTCCATGGATGACCCCAGTTCTTAAGCAGCCATGAATTATAGGAGATTATACTGAAAGAATCAATAATGCAGATGAGTTTCTAGAGAGCTTCCTTGGGGGTTGAGGAGTGGAGGTCCTGAAAGTACCCAGGTACAGCCCACTCTATTTATGACCTTAGTGAAGCTGTTTCTCAAGAAACTATCAGAAATGGAGGAGCTGTTCCAATAGGTCCTAAGCTTGTACACACAGTATTTTGATAATCCTGACTTGAAAGTAAGGGTTATATTCATTGTCACCTTCTTTCAGCTCACCTGTGACAGCCAAAGAAGTAGTCTCTGAGAAAACATTGATCTCACACGGAGACAGACCTCTTCAGGCCAGTCTTTCTGGATGAGCTAATCTGCCACATTGATTCCTTGGCCTCTGTGTGCCATAAACCTCCAAATGCTTTTGCAGAAGGGAGTCATGGCATCCATTGCAAACATAAGCTCATTCATCATGAGAACACTGGTGCAGGTGGCAGCCCTGTTGGTACTGCCACTGCAACCACCTGGAACAGCCTTAGGTCATCCCCTCTCAAGGTGATCTGGGAGGTCTTTTAAATCTTGACCCGGGTCCCTCAGTTAATATATCAGAGGTGTCCTGTATGCAGACAGGAGCTCTAGATCATTTTAGGGAGGAGGACTGGATAGTCTGTTAGGTAATTCTTCATTCCATCAACTAGTGCCTGCAAACTTTGCTCGTTCACCTACTGCTGTGATCCACAGTGATTCAAATGGCAAGTTTAAACTTTCCATGGGGATAGGAATGATACCTGGTGGGTATGTGGCTCCTAAGTCAGTCTGAGTACCTGTGAAAAAGGCTAAAACCGTGGCAATTTAGGTGACATTTACTCACCATGGGCACATCTATATGGAAACAAATTTCGCCAATAAAGCTCCTCATCATGCAACAGATTCTGCAGTACAATTTAATAAGAACAGCTCTGATATCATCCCAAGCATTTTTTTTTGGGGGGGATGATACTCTACTGTTGCCAAACCAGAGCATTTATGTTCTTGCCTCTCAGGACCTTGAGCTCTGTCATGAAGATAGAACCTGAATAACTTGCAGGTGCCTGCTTAAAACAGTGTTGATGTCTTCTGTTTCAACTGCCTCATCCCACCTAATGTGCTTTTTATAGATTCTATAATATAGAAGATAGCAAAATGGAGCTTCAAGTCTTCTTTACAACATACAAGGGCATTCTCAAGAAAATGAACTCCAATTTCAAATTAAGGAATGTTATTTAGATGCCTACACTGTTTCCAGCAAGTTACAAAACAGTTTTTATTCTGTTACTAAAAGGAATATGAAAGGGCATTTGGAATTTGGGTAAACTATATATTCAGCCCCAATTATACACCATCACTGAAGTGTGGAGCTGCTAAAGTCTCAGTTCATCTATGAGCTTAATTATACCATTTTAAAAGACATAAACTGATCCAGCCACCTTGCAATCAGTGCAAACCAAGAGCTCTTAACTGGAAAAAATTCTGTTTTCATATAGAACCTGAACTCAAATTCTGCAACACCCAGACACACACCTAGTGACCAGTCTCTGCCCTGTGCTGACATTAGTGTTTGCCCTGTTGGATAGCTTAGCTTCTTGTGAACATTTGTAACCACTGTCACTTTGGCCTCTGTTGCTCTGTCTTCACATATAATCTCCGTACTATGCCATTGGTTTGCTTTTTCTACTCTCTCCTTTGCGTGTAGTTTGATACTTTGTAATTGAAAGCTCATTTCAAAAGCAGAAAAAAGGCAACAAATACTTAAGGGAAGTGTTACTGGAAGGTGGGGGAGAAGAAGAATATTTCTTCCATTGGTTATGCCAGAAAATATAAACGGACAAGCATGACCTATTAAAAAACATTGTCCTGCCGGGCGGTGGTGGCGCACGCCTTTAATCCCAGCACTCGGGAGGCAGAGCCAGGTGGATCTCTGTGAGTTCGAGGCCAGCCTGGGCTACAAAGTGAGTCCCAGGAAAGGCGCAAAGCTACACAGAGAAACCCTGTCTCGAAAAAACAAAAAAAATAAAAAATAAAAAAAATAAATTGTCCTTTGAAGTTGCAATAAAGAAAATTAAAACAGCTGAATGCTACTTAAAAACATATCTTAGAATATCACAGAATGTTTAAAAGCAATGGACTACGTAACAAGTACTTAGAAAAAAAGGCAAGGATGGAATCATGAAAGTTAAATCGGAATTAAAGACCAGTAGCATTAAAGGAAACAGAAAGATATGGCTTTGTTTTTAAAAGTTATAATCTGCTGAATATAACCCTTCTCCACAGCAATATACATGTACTTAGTCAAACATAAGAAAATACTTAGTCAGCTTGGGTTTTTATAGTGGTAATCTGAGTACCAGTATACATTTTGAAGTAAAGAATTCAGTGGCATTAAGTACCTATCACATTGCTGTGCTGTTGTCTCTGCCAACAGTTTTAAAATATCCAGAACTGTTTCAAAATCTTCCTAACTAAAACTGTACCTATTCAACAAGTTTTTTCCTTACCATAGGTTTAATGGCGATATTTCAGTACTTTTGTTTTCCTGTTTCTTATCTTTGACACCAAATTATATACCATTTGTTCTTGTCACCTTAGGGATTAAATTAGTGATGACTGAGGAATAGTTTCTTTAATATGGGTGACTAAAAAGTTTAAAGATGTCCCATTACAACCCCCCTCAGCGAAAATGCTAATTAGTATTACCTCCTCTGGTTTTGAGAATTCATTGAGAGATGGAGGTGTGGGGGGGTGTCCACCCGCCCTCACATGCATACATGTGTGAATGTGGTTTTTCTTAGGTATTTCTGGAGTCAATGTGTAAGATTTTAAATGCAGTAGAAATAAAGTAGAAAATTAAGTTAAAAGAAGACAGAACAGTACTCACAGATCATCCAGATTTACAACAAGATTAATTAATGAGGAGAAAAAACACACAGTTTAAATGTCAGCTGTGCCTAGATAGCGGTAGATAACCAGTAAATCTGGAAAGATGATCCGCACTTTAAAGGATACCACTACTGATGAGGAAACAAGTACAAGCATACTAACAAAGAACAGTTAAGGATTGGAAAGGTAGCTTAGTAGAAATCTTGCCTAATATGCACAATACCCTGGGTTCAATTCCCAGCCTTAAAATAATATTTACCCTTTGTGTGTGCTTTTCTATTTGGCTTCATTTTTTAAACTTTTCTCTCAGTGAATAAATTAGTTTAAGAACTCAAAATGAGTTGTGATCTATAGTTTATAAAATATAATCCCAAGTGTTAACTAGCTGGATATCACTAGCCTCAAAAATTTAAGATCTTTTTCTCCATTAGTAAACTGGGGGTAAGGGGTGAGCAATGAAGGGTAGAGGATGGGGAATGAGAACATAAGGGAATGGGATGGTTGAGCTGAAACAGGGATGGAGTGGGAAAGCAATGAGAGAGATACCATGATGGAGGTTAGAGAGAAACCTGGTGCTAGGGAAGTTGCCAAGAATCCCCAAGGATGACCCCAGCTTGGACTACTAGAAATACTGGATAGGGTGCCTGAACTGAACTGGCTTGCCCCAGTGATCAGATCAGTAAATACCCCAACTGTCATCACAGAGCTTTTCTCCAGTGACTGATGGAGGAAGGTGCAGAGATCCACAGCCAAACAGAGTTCCAGGAGTCCAGTCAAAGAGAGAGAGGAGGGATTCTATGAGCAAGTGCATCAGGATCATGATGGGGAAACCTGCAGAGACGACCAAACCAAACTAGTGGGAACTCATGAAAGTTGGATCGATGGCTGTAGAGCCTACCTGGGACAGGACTAGGCCTTCTGCATGGGAGACAATTATGTGGCTTGATCTGCTTTGGGGACCCCTGGCAGTAGAATCAGAATCCATCCCTGGTGCATGAGGGGACTTTTTGGAGCCCATTACCTATGATGGGACACCTCATGCAACCTTAGGCAGGGGAAAGGGCTTGGACTTGCCTCTACTGGATATGCCTCCCCATGGGAGACCTTGCCTTCTTGTGGGAGGGAGTGGGGGGGTGGTTTGGGGGGGGTTGGAGGAGGGAATAGGGAGATCTTTGATTGGTGTATAAAATGATTGAAAAAATTTTCTTTAAAAAAAAGTTGAAACTCTTTCATACAAGGGTGGGAAAAGTATTATTATTATTATTATTATTATTATTATTATTATTATTATTATTAGCATCTGGACCAGTGTCAGCATCTTTACATGTCTACCTGAAGAGCTTTTAAAGAGTACAATATTCTTTAAGGTTTAAAGACTAGCCGTGGAAGAGAGTTTGTGTTTGAAGTGTAGGTAAGGGGCTTACATATGTTTTAGCAAGAGAATCATGACAATAGAAAATAGTGAGATGAAAGGTGCATTGAGTTAAACTCAAATGAGAAGAGGGAAGAAGAAATAAGAGAGACTTAAATTTGTTACCTTAACTAAGATGACAAGATCTGCCAGTATTTCAAATGGAATTCTGGAAAAAATTATTTCCTTTGTAAAAAGAAAAACAGAGGCCTGGAGAGGTAGCATAGTACCTTCCATTTAAGCATGAGAAGAGGAGAATCCTTATGTACTTACTCAGTAGCCAGTTAGCCTGGCTTGTGTGATAGTGAAAAGAGACTGTCTCTAGCAAGGTGGATGGTGAGGTCTAGTACACCAAGTCCTATGACCTCCACAGGTATGCCATATACCGGCCAGGTGGAACCGAGAAACCTTCCAACTATACACACATATATATAAGGTTTTTGTTTTTGTTTTGAATGGCTTAGAACTGTTGAGACCAAGCCATTTTAATTGTGAAAAAAATGATTTAACTCACAATATTATTAGTAGTTCTCTTATTAAATACTTTGGTCACATTCAATTTGTTAATTTTAGTTACATGAACATGCAGCCTACTTGGTGGACAGTCTGTGGGAGAGCTCTCAAGAACTGTTGAAAGATTGGGAATGTATGACAGAGTTGCTATTAGAAGAACCTGTTCAAGGAGAGGAAGGTATAGTATTTTGACAAGTCTATTTTCATTTTGTTTTATTTTCGTTGATAAATGCAACATCTTCTGTGTAAACATGCCATGTGTCTTTTTAAATAGAACAACTTAATTCCTACAATAGTAAGAATTTCTTCTTTACACCTTTCCATATTAACACAGTTAATATGATGCACAAGGTGTTTGCAAAGTCCATGTGTTGTATAATATTCAAGTCTTGTTTGCTGACTTCAGACACAAAATACGCTTAATGTTTAATTTTTTCAAAAGTAAATCTTTTTTCTTGTATTTTTCTGTAAGCCTGGAAAAGGGCTATGAAACAAAAACCTCCTCTTCTCTTTCTTCCTTTTGTTTATTTATTTTTTTTCCTATCAGTTCAGAGACTTGAGCTCAAGATTTTGCCCTTTGACATGTTGTTCCCATTTTTGGGCAAATTTCTTTTTTAGAAATTTATCATACATAAACACATACGTATTAGTGATACTTTACTGCAGCATTTTCATGTCTATCAAACACTTGGAAATACTTGATTCGATTATAAGCACATGGACTAAATTATACTTTATAAATTATTTAATAAGTTAAAATGTCTGTATGTGAGCTGAGTGTGGTGGCACACGCCTTTAATCCTAGCACTCAGGAGGCAGAGGCAAGTGGATCTCTTAAGTTCAAGGCCAGCCTGGTCTACAGAGCAAGTTCCAGGAAACCCTATCTCAAAAAACAAAAAACAAAACTATATGTGTATATTGACCGGAAATACATTACAATGTATTGTTAACCTGTTAAATATATGACAATCTTTTATTTATGGGAAATCAAAGAAAATATTGTTTTTTGTTTTTTTCAAGACATGTTTTCTCTGTATTGTTTTGGTGTCTATATTAGATCTCGCTCTGTAGACCAGACTGGCCTCGAACTCATAGAGATCCGCCTGGCTCTGTCTCCTCTGAGTGTTGGGATTAAAGGTGTGCATCACCACCACCCAGCCAAAGAAAATTTTTAAGATTTGAAGTTATGTAGAAGAGAATACATTAAAATTTTATCATTGCCTTACTCAAAAGTAAGGAATTAAAAGAAACTAGGTGTTAGAAAAGACGAGAGTGCTTACTTTATGTGCTTTGTTTGTTTGTTTGTTTGTTTGGCTAATGATGGAGCCACTTATTACTAAAATAGAGGGAGGGAAATGTCAAAACTAGAGTCCACCTTAACTCTCCATAAGTAATAATGTTTGCAGTTTTTAATAAATCATTGTGTTAATTTAGGATATGATTATGAAACCACTCACTCATATTTTGTTCATTTCAGCAATGTCAGACCGTCAAGAGAGTGCTCTTATAGAGCTAATGGTTTGTACAATTCGCCAAGCAGCTGAGGCACATCCTCCCGTGGGAAGGGGTACCGGCAAGAGAGTAAGTTTTCAGTCAGTAAAACGTCTACAGCAAACCTGTAAATGCAATTACCTGTCTAGACTATTTTGACACTTTACTGGTGATTGTATCCCTAAACATAGGATTTTTTTACAAATAACACATGCATGGCATGGTGCTTCATCTTTGTGTCTTACCTGCTTGACCCAAGTTCTAAAAATATCTTTCCTTCATATTCTCTATTTGTATTTTAACAGTATAAGTACAAGCCCGGGATGGCGGGAGGGGTGCTGGAGAGATGATTGATGATTAAGAGCACTGGCTGCTCTTCCAGAGAACCCAAGTTTGATTTCTAACACCCAGTGCTCACAACTTTGTGTAACTCTAGTTCCCAGGCATCTGATACCTTCTGGCGTTTGTGGGCACCGGGCATGCATGTGCTGCACTGACACACTTGCAGGAAAAACACCTGTACACAAAAAATAATATTAATACTTTCTTAGTTATTTATTTATTCATTTCATTTTTTGACACAGGATCTCTATTATGTAGCTCTGTGTATCCTGGGTCTCACTGTATAGATTTGGTTGGCCTCAACTCTCAAGAGATCTTCCTGCTTCTGCCTGGTTGATTTTTTTTTATTTTTATTTTTATTTTTTTTTTATTTTTTAAGTATTTAAGGGCTCAAGAGGCAGACTGCAATATTTGTAACCTCTTCTGTGTAGCAGCTATCTAATCTTTGGATAGGGGAATATTTGTATATCTGTAGTTTCCTTATCAGTAATAAGTGGTTAATAATATATTTAGCAAGTATTTAATAAGTGTTTAATAGGAAGTGTTTAGCAGTATTTAAGGAAGAACTTTCTTGATATGAAAGACATAAGCAAATCCTTTTGCAATAACAAGTGTAAAACTAAAAATTGTGTCACAAATATCCACCTGATAAAGTTGGTGGGTATAGAGAAGCGTGCTTGTAATCCTATCCCTTACTCTTGGATACTAAAATGGGGCTTTGAGACCAGCCAGGACCATGTTTAAGAGACCCTGCCTTAACTTTTAAAAAAGGATAAAGTTACAGGTAAATGCAGCAAGAGTTTCTTGTAGTATCCCACCCCAGGTTTATGCCATACAGCCAATACCTCCCCCTCCTCTCAGTCTTTGTGGATAAGATGTATAGTTTTATCAGAGTGGTACTGACAACAAAAACAGGCAGCTTTCCTGTCAGAATGGATTCAGTGTAGACAAATGGCAAGTCATAGCTTTGTTAACTCAAATGGTACACTTGGTAGAAATATACAGGGAAAACACAATTTTGATAATTGGAGATAGTAATCCAAGAAACAAACAGCAATAAAGGAGAAAAGTTCCATATATATATGTTCTATATATTCACTGGAGGTGTATTCTCCATTGACCTAGTGATTTGCTTCCTCCAACTAGACCCCACTTTCTAAAGCTTTTATCATCTCCAAATAGTCACAGCACATGGAAGACTTGTTAAGTCATTACTACATGAGTTTTTGAGGGAGACATTTAAGATACAAACCACTTGGTTATAGAGAATACATTGAACATGAAATTAGAAGATTCATCTTAAATAACTGAAAGAAAATGTTGAAAAAAGTGAATAAACAGATCCATAGACATGTGTAAAACATCAAATGAAACAATTCGTGTAATTAAAGTTCCAAAGAGGAAAAATATTTAAATTTCTGGGTGGTTGTTTGTGACCTGAGTCTCACTTTGTATCCCTGACTGGCCTTGAACTCACAGAGACCTGCCTGCCTCTGCCTGCCAAGTGCTCGGAGTGCTGAGAGTAAAGGCATGCTCCACTGTGCCCAACCCCTAAGAGAAATATTTGGAAGAATAATTGCCAGAAACATCCCAACTTTGATTTAAAAAGCATCAAAATTGATTCACAATTCTAAACAGAAGCTTAACAAAACTCAAGCCTAATAAACACAAAAATACCATACCTTTTAAGCCTAGTAAAATTAAAATGTATTGGTTTATAGGTAACAAAAGAACTCTTGTAAACTTTTTCAACAGTCATATCACTGGCAGTAAATGGACAGTAGTAACATTAGAATACTACTATTCTGTCATGCAAATAAAATAAGGAATCTAGGCAACAATTACTAATAGCCTATAACTGCCTGAAACATTGATGGGGAATTTCATAATGAATTACTTCACTTGAACTTATTAAACTTAACAACACTGAAAATAAGACTGCTATATCTGAAATATTCTTGAGCCTAGGTGTGGGCAAGGGAGAGTTTTAATGTAAACAAGATAACTACCAGTTTTCAAGAAACAGCAACACCCATGTCAGTCAGCTCAAAAAACAACCTGTAACTCTTCCTCCAGGGGACCTCTTCTGGCCTCAGGGTGTGTGTGTGTCTGTCTGTGTCTGTGTGTCTCTGTGTCTTTGTGTCTGTGTGTGTTAGAGAGACAGAGAGACAGAGAGAGAGAGAGAGAGAGAGAGAGAGACAGAGAGAGAGACAGAGAGAGAGACAGAGAGAGAGACAGAGAGAGAGAAAAGATGTGCGTGCGTGTGTGCGTGCGTGCGTGCGTGCGTGTGTTAGAGAGGGGCGGGGGGAGAGGGAGAGAAAAGATAGATGTACCTACACACATGTACACACAAACGGAAACTTTAAAAAAATGCATAGGAATGGAGAAACATGTTAAGGGAGATTTCTAGTGTTTCAATTAGCCAAATTTAGAATGTAGAAGTGAGCGGATTATTTGGAATTAAAGGAAGGGTGTGTGAACATAGCAGACAAATATAATTATTTGGATTCTTACATTAGCAAGCTGTAAAAGAACAATTTTTGAGGAAAGTATGGACTGCATGTAAAATGATACTAAAGTATTATTGCTTAATATTGTTGAAAATAGTAACTTATTATTTTAAGTTCTTATCTGTTAACACACTTATACTTAATTATCACGAATGAAATTATATATCATTTGTTTTAAAATTCTACAGAGAAAAATTTAGTATTGTAGCTAGAATGACAGAATGCTGGTTAGTACTCAGCTTTTTAGTGATTTTGAAATTTTCTGTTATATAAGTCTTAAAAAATTTATTGCTCCAACTTTGACAAATAATTCACTTTTAGGGCTAAATCCTAGTCCTTTCGTAAATGTTGCCTCTTTTTTGTACTTCCTTCTTTCAGAATAAACTGGCCCAGTTGTGAAAATAATTCCAAAATTTATAGACTTAATACTATAAGCATTCATTATTTCAGAGTTTGTGGGTGTCTGAAATTCATTAATGGTTTAGTTGCTATTTGACTTAGCACCTCTTAGGGTTGACCACATCTTTATCATCAGTCTTTACTGGGAGGCTGTAAGTCACATCCACATGAATCATATTTCGCATGTGGCTGGTAGGTATGGACTGATGCTTAGTAGGTGATCTTAGAGCTTCTCTATCTGCATGCCCCCTCCATAGGGATGTTTGAGTATTCTCATCATATGGCTGATTATCTTTCTCAGAACATTAAGGTGAACACTGCTGTATTTTTAATGCCCCAGTCTTCAAAAAGTCATGAAATCATGCTGGAGATATAGTTAGATTTAGTATCTTCCTGTTAATCACACAAGTTAGCCTTACTCATTGTGGGAAAAAGGTCTACCAAGGGTATAAATACCAGGGAATGGGGACCATAAAGGAATTTATTGAACTCTGGGTTCCATTCTGGTCTTACACAATAACCAACCATTTATTTCTCTTGTGAGCCATGGTTCCTTACAGTGACTGGTAAGGATCAGAATCTTCACACTAAGTTTGATTATGGTTATTAGGTTATTATGTCTTGTAGGCATGTGTGCTAGACAGAGATGAGAAATACATATTTATTTGAATATAACCATACATCCATTATTGCTCTGACTTAAGCTTATCCTAACACTTAATTTTTTATATTCCTCTTAAATTTCTTGGTTATGTCATCTGCCAGTTCTTCATCATTTTATGTTAACATTTTCAATTTTTAAACTGCTAAATGACACTTTATTATTTCCATTTATTTCTAGGTGCTAACAGCCAAAGAAAGGAAAACTCAAATTGATGATAGAAACAAATTAACGGAGCATTTTATCATTACACTTCCTATGTTACTATCAAAGGTAGATGCCATCTTCAGTTTTGTGGTAATGTGCCCTGAGTTTGCTTTCTTGCACTATTGCTGTAGTTACTCCTTTTTCTTTGTTGCTTCCTCTAGTATTCTGCAGATGCAGAGAAGGTAGCAAACTTGCTACAGATTCCACAGTATTTTGATCTAGAAATCTACAGCACGGGTAGGATGGAAAAGGTAAGACCCTGAAATTCTGCTACTAAAGTAGTTTTAGTAGCTGGATTTTATATTTCATCTAATCATAAATTATTTGATAAATGATGTTTTTCATTTTCATTATTAATCTAAATATCACAGCTTTCTTTTTTTTCCTCCTCAGCACCTGGATGCTTTATTAAAACAGATTAAGTTTGTTGTAGAAAAACACGTAGAATCAGATGTTCTAGAAGCCTGCAGTAAAACCTACAGCATTTTATGCAGTGAAGAGTATACGATTCAGAACAGAGTTGATATTGCTCGGAGCCAGCTGATTGATGAATTTGTAGATCGATTCAATCATTCTGTGGAAGATCTGTTGCAAGAGGTTAGTTATAAAGTTGATGGTACATATCCTAATTTAGTCTAATAATTACTCAGAATACCTGAATGTGGGAGTCAGTCCTTTTTCAAAAAAAGTCTAAATTTTTCTACCCTTTTCAGAATTTAGTAGTACTGTGGAAACTGTACATCCTGTAAAAATCCTGTAAAAATCAGCCTTTTATAGTTTACTTTTTGTGCTATTTTCTTCTTTTAAGAACAATCTAAACTTTGCTTTTTCTTTGTTTTGTTTCCTATTTCTGGGATCCAATTTACATTTTTTAAATTTTTATTTATTATATTGTACTAGTGAATATAACATACAAATTAAGTTAAATATGATTGCTCAAGGAAGTAACACTCTTGCCAAACGTAGTTTTTCTCATTATTTTTGGGGTTCCTTTTGCCCTTGCTTCTGAACTATAAGGCAATCTGAAATTCCTGTAGTTTATGCTTTGATCCTCCTGAGAATCTTTATAACTGATTTTTTTTAAAGAATTTTGGTAATATTTTTTTAAACATGACATATGATTTTTCACCATAATTTTCTGAAGTACCTGGCCATCAGTAAAATATTAAATAATCTTTAAACTGTTTTCAGGATAAGGCTCACTCAAGTAGTAACTGATGTGTGCATTCTTGAGGAACCCCTGGTGTTTAGTCCTCAGAACTGAAAGACAGTACACTAGCTAGAACTTTCAAACACTGTCACAAACAATTGCAATTTCAAGGAATTTACTGTAGTATATTATAAAAAATTTGTATGTTTTTGTTCATTTGGAGTGAATATACTGCTTTATGTAATGAATTTCAGGCTGTTAAGAATTAGTAGGATTTAATTAAATTTAAGTTACTATGAAAATGAGGTCACTTTTATTTTTTATTTATAGGGTGAAGAAGCTGATGATGATGATATCTACAATGTTCTTTCTACTTTAAAGCGTTTAACTTCTTTCCACAAGTATGTCATGTTTATTATTAATATAAATTTAGCAAGTAACATATTGGCCAATGAATAGACTGAATGTAATATTTGACTTCTTACAACAGTGATACATTTTTTTTTCCCCATCAAACCTTTATTTTTCATAACAAGTCCTCCTGTTTTTGTATTTTTTTTCCCTGTAACCCACCAAGTTTAATTAGGCCTGCTTGCATGTGCATGAATGGGATGTCATTGACTGGAGCATGGGCAAGTTACCCCTGGCCTTAATGCTGAATTCAATGACATCCTCTCCCCTAGCAATCAGGAACTGCCGTTAGTCCCTCAGGGAGCGGGTACAGCTTCATGAGCCCCTATTCCCACCTTTTAAAAAGTGATTACTATTTTTGTTTGCTTGCTTGCTTGCTTGCTTGCTTTCTTTCTCTCTCTCTCTCTCCTTTCTTTTTTCTTTTTCTTTTTTTTTTTTTTTTATAAAATAAAATGTTTAATTTGGGGACTCACAGTTCCAGAGGATTAAAGTCCATGACTATCATGATGGGGAGCATGGCAGCGGGCAGTTAGCCATTTTGCTGGAACTGTAGCTGAGAGCGCTTTTTTTTTGGACAGGGTCTTAGTATGTAGTTCTGGGACTCACTATGTAGACTAGGCTGGCCTCAAACTCACAGAGATCACCTGCCTCTGCCTCTCAAGTGCTAGGATTAAAGGTATATACTACTATGCCCAGCTGAAAGCTCACTTCTTGAAACATATGTATGAGGCAGAAAGAGCTAGGTGGGAATGATGTGGGCTTTTGAAACCTCCAAGCCTGCCCTCAGTGACACACCCCCTCCAACAGAGCCACACCTCCTAATTTTTCCCAAACAGTTCTACCAACTGGGGAACCAAGTATCCAAATATATAAGCATATGGGGGTCATTCTTATTCAAACCACCACATTCAATTCACTGGTCCCCATAGGTCTGTAGCTCTATCATAATACAAAATGCATCTAGTCCAACTTCAAAAGACCACAGTCTTCCACAGTCTTACCACAGTTTAAAAAGTCCAAAGCCTCTTCTGAGACCCAATGCAATCTCCTAAGTATAACCCTCTGTCAAATCCAAAAAGCACATCACATGCTTCTAACATATGATGGCATAGAATATACATTACCATCCCTGAAGAGAGGAATGAGGACATGGTAAAGAAATACTGGACCAAAGCAAGATCAAAACCCAGCAAGGCAAACTCCAAATCCTATAGCTCTGCCTTTCCATCTCGGCTGACCACAACACAGTTCTCTCTGTTGGTCTGATTCCACTCCCTACATGCAGCTCTTCCTTGTAGACATCTCACGGCTCTGGTACCTCCAGCGTCCCGGGGTGTCCAACGCAGTCCAGGCTTCACTTTCACAGATTCATGAAATGGGCTCTCAGATCCTCCCTGTAGGGGATCCCTTGCCACAAGCCTGGCCTCGGTGGCTCCCCTTCATTCCAGAGAAAGATCAGTGATACATTTTTAAATATTAAAGTGTAACAAATTTTGCTCATCCAGATTTTCTCTGGATTTTTTTTTAGTTTTAATTATTGTTGGTATAAGAATATTTGTTAATTTTTGAAAACTAATCATTCAAGTACAAAGTGTACTATAAACATTTTAATCAATCCATATTATTTAACAAAACAGATGAGCTTATATTATAAGCTAGAGTTTTATAAGTAATTTTCAATTGATGGTATTTAACAGTCTTGTTAAGTAAAAAGTAAGATTGATGGGAAGGTTGTATACGTTGGCTCAAAGTTGCAAATTTTCGGTTTGATGTAAGGAACATTTTTTTCAGTAAAAACAAAAAATTATGATTGATTTTGTTTAGCTATTTCCCCAATCTTTATCTTAAGTATATACACTATATTTCTTAATTGCCGAACTATATATAAGTTAATGAGAGAAGATTTTGAGGAAGTCTTGCAATAATTCCTGTGGACTTCTAGATTATTACTGTTTTTAATGTGTAGACAGAACAATTGGTTTTGAATAAGGAGTAAAAGGCTCAGATGAAATGTGCTTTCAAACCATAATCCACATATCCCTGTAATGAGGTTTATCTTCTCCACAAAGGAAGAGAAACAGAATTGTGTTGTCAAAAGAAAGTTTGTTTGTAGCTCTTAATAAATTATTCACAAGGCAGTTTTCTAAAATCTAGGTTTTTGGTTCAGTGTGGGAGTGCCTGGCACTACTCCCACTTGCTTTTGAGGAAAAGGATGACTTCAGCTCAAGAGATGGAGACAACCTTGTACAACAGAGAGATGTAGTGAGATCTTGTCTCTATGGATGAGGGGAAAGAAAGAAGGGAAAAATAAAGAAAAGGAAATTTAATCCATTTTTACGTACAAAGAAACTTTTTGGAATCTTGTATAGAACTAAACTCTTATTTTAAAACATATCTTGTTGTTTACGATAAAAGACAGCCATAGTAAAAAAAAAACTGACTTTGTAGTATAGTTCAAGTTTCTTCCTTCAAAGCCAGGCATAGGGGGTGGGGATTTAGCTCAGTGGTAGAGCACTTGCTAGGCCCTGGGTTTGGTCCTCAGCTCTGGGGGAAAGAAAAAAAAAAAGCCAGGCATGGTGGCATCAGAGGCAGATGGATGTACAGGAGCTGCAGGCCATTCTACACTACATAGTGAACGCTGACGGAAATCACTTTCACAAGTCTTGAGGCTATATAATGGCTACACAATGGATTTTGAGTTTTCTCATATTTCCTTTCCTCTGGTTTTGTAATTCTGTCCATCTGATGATAGCAGAGTTCTCTTTCAAAAATACACATATAATTATTTTTTTTAATTTTAAAGGGTCTTTTTTAAAACGTACTTTTAAATATAAAGTTGCAGATGTATACATTATGGGTTTAGGTCAACCATCTAAGGAGAAACTTGACATTAAATGTGAAACTCGTGATTTATTTGACAGACTCTCTACCTCTCCCATCAACTGTTGTTTTCATTCTTTGTTTCTTTTCACGTTTGAATGTTTCCTTTATGGGTTGTTTTCAAGTCGACAACAAAAGGAAATATTTCTGTGTTGTTTTGCTTAGTGAAACTGAGCTCAAATCGAAACGATCTTTTATTCTAGAGTAAAATTAAAATCTTTTTTATTTATTTTAGTGCTCATGATCTCACGAAATGGGATCTATTTGGTAACTGCTATAGACTATTGAAGACTGGAATTGAACATGGAGCTATGCCAGAACAGGTAGGCAATTATTAATATTTTTTCTATTCTTTAGGAAGCTAAGGTACTATGAAATCAAATGATTTTCCAAAGCTTGTTGCAGAAAATAGCTGATAAGTCTAAAATGCAGTTAGCTACTTTGAGAACTATTGTCCTTGTGATTTTAACTGTTTGGTATGTCTTATATTCAGATGTTTTAAAGTAAGAAATGATAGACTATTTTTATTATAATTATCTTTAAAAATTAATGTTAAGGTAAAAACTATTAATTTCTATAATACATTTCTGATGATGACTGTTCTAAGCAGTGTTATAAATATTAATGGCACCAGACCTTCAACGTGACTTAATTGTATAGTAAAACCATTGTTTGGATGCCTATAGTAGTTAGAACTTTTTGTGTTCACATTCAAGTTGGAGTAAAAAGGACAGGAATCTGAATTTTTTGCCGAATCTGAAAGAGACTTAAGTAATTAGCTTAATTCTATATAAGAAAGAGAAGAGTTACTTTGTGTATTACAGATACACATGAGACCCAACTTCATATTTATTAGTGATGCTTGGGGATTATCTGATTCATTCCTATTTGAAAGAGATGTTTAGATGATACATTATTACTCTTTAATCAGAATGTCAAGAGATAGAACAAAATGTTAATTGCATATTAAAAGTCAGTCATTTCACAGGGCATTGATGGCACAGGCCTTTAATCTCAGCACTCAGGAGGCAGAAGCAGACAGATCTCTGAATTTGAGGACAGCCAAGGCTACACAGAGAAACCCTGTCTTGAAAAAACAAAAACAAAACAAACAAACAAAAGCCTAGTAACTGTGAGTCACAAAACACAAGTATGGTGACATTTATAGTTTGAGCGGCTTAGAAGGCTGTTACAGGGGCACCAGTTATTCCTAGACTCAAGGCCAACAACCTGAGCCAACAGAGTAAGACTCCATCAAAACAAAAAACAAACAACAAAAAAAAAAATTTAATAAAGAAAAAGCCACAACCTAAACAAAAGCCTTTAAAGGGCAGTATTTTTGTTTGTTTGTTTGTTTCTATGATTAATTCTTTTCAGTTGCCTAACATAGTTTGGGTGTGCAACTCAGTGGCCCAGCACTTGCCTAGTGTATACAAGGCCTTGGATTACACTCCTAGAACTGAAAAAAAAAAATTGAAATAAAAAATTACTGCAGGACAGTAGTGCTGCACACCTTTAGTCTCAGCACTCAGAAAGGCAGAGGCAGGTGGATCTCTGTAAGTCCCAGGACTGCCAGGGCTACACAGAGAAATCTGTCTTCCCTCCACCCCCAAAACAATGACTTTCTTGATCCCACTCTTAATAAACACAGTGTACCTAATTAGATGCTTTTCTTTCATTTGTGAAAAGAGGATAAAATCTGGGGCAAATGTATCACATTTGAACATTTCCTTTATGGATCTACAGGAAAATGAAGTTGGGAAGCTGTTTTGTTCTTCCATGTATTGAAGCTCAGCTCAGATTTTTCTTCCACTACAGAATAAAGTTAATGTGTTTGCTTTATTGTGGCAAGAGGCTTAATATTTAACCATGTTGTTTACTTCTTTTATTAATGGCACTTCAGTTTTCCATTCTGTCTTCATCTCACTTTTCAATCTCCTAAATATAACTCATTCATATTCTCAAACTGTATCTTACAAATTTGAAAGGTGATAAAGGTATTCTTTTGTTGTTTTCCTTATTTTCTTCAAGGAAAGAATAAAATTAACACATTTCTGCTTAATGGGATTATGAACCTGTTGACATTTATTTTCAATCCACAATACCATCATTTGTGTCTTAGCCACTAACTTGTGACAGCCACATAATGGCTCAACTTGTGACAGCCTCATCATTGCATAGATGTTTCTTCCTCATGTTAATTTTTTAATAAGAACTTACTTATGTTGTATGTATCTTAACTTCTCTTGGACTCATATCCTTAGCCTTTAACCAGGTATATGAAGTTTGAAAGCATGGCTACTAGATTGTGTTCTTGTTTATATTTACATTTTCACAAATATCTCCTAAGATATATATAGAAATGGACAAAAACTGTATTCAACTAACTTTTATGTGATTATTTAGTTCCCCTTTTCAGATTCTAGCTTTTTGCTTTTAGTTAGAATCCAGAGATTTTCTTTGAGATTCCTTTTTCTGAGCACAGACCTCAAAGAATTACCAAAACTTTTACTGATATTACCCCTCAATTATGGTCAGTATTGTGAATGTGTCTAAAGGCTAATTCTCTAGATAATCTAATTCTTTAGATATTTGGGAGGACTATATTTACCATATCCTTGACTATTTGTTTTCCATAATGAACAATTTAACTAAATCTCTCTTTAGTTTTACTCTTTAGGGATAGCAGAATTTGTAGGGTGAGCTAGGGGATTCTCTGGTAGTAATTGTCTTTTCTGATGCCAATAATGTTTTAAATTTACTAGGACTGGAGAGATGGCTCAGTGGTTAAGAACACTGGCTACTCTTCCAGAGACCCTGAGTTCAATTCCCGGCAACCACATGGTGACTCACAATCATCTATAGTGGGATCTGATGTCTTCTTCTGGCATAAAGTTGTACATGAAGATAGAGCACTCATATACATAAAAGTTTTTTAAAAGGCCAGCTGGTGGTGGCATACGCCTTTAATCCCAGCACTCAGGAGGCAGAGGCAGGTGGATTTCTATGAGTTCGAGGCCAGCCTGGTCTACAAAGCAAGTTCCAGGACAGCCAGGACTGTTACATAGAAAATCCTTGTCTTGGGGAGGGAAACTTTTAAACATCATTTATATCATTACTCTCAATCTAGAATAACATATAGTAGTATTTAGATAGTCTGTCTTGTTTGTCACTTTTAATCGGAAGCCTTTGTGTTTCATAACACTGATATTCTGAAGAGTACCCCTAGTTTATGAAATATTCTCAGTTAATTTTGTCTGATTGTGGTATATTTCAATTTGGATTACACATTCTTCCAGAAATGAGTTTTGGATGATATTCTGTCCTCAATGTATCATGTCAAGAGGTACGTAGAGGCTAAATATGACCAAAGTATATTTTACATTTAGTATATGATAACAGAAAAGGAAGAGGAATGAAAAGAAACATAATGTCAATTTGCTCACGATTAATGATATTAAATCACTTGATTAAGGTAGAATCTATCAAATTTCCCATATGTAGTTAACGTCCTTTTTAATTCATAGGCTGTCAAAAAGTTCTTTAAAAGTATATAAATCATGCTGTTGTTTCTTGGCAAAATTTTATGCCATTCATGTAAACTTGTCTGAATCCCTGCTATCATGATCACAAAACAATTTCTAATTACTTTTTAGTTCTCACTTTGTGCTTATTAATTGATACTGTATTGTAAGGAAAAATTGTCCACTCATTTACTCATCTTTTTTCATTTTAAATTATTTTTTAATTTAATCGTCATATACTAGTATGTTTTATAATTCATTTTTGTTGGTACTTATTTTGTTGCTTGTAGATTTGCAGATTTGTCAGGTGGAGCTTCTGTGCTCCTTTCAAACAGGCTCCTATGTGCTTTTAATACTTTCTGAGCACTTCTAGTAAAGCATGCATTGCAGGGTAAACTGAAACCCCCATGCTAATGAATATTTAACATATAAAAAGTATTTTAAAATATATCAGTTCTATAACACGGTTATTATTTACTGTGAAGAAACCAGATGTTCTAAATTATTTTATCTTCCTCATACAAATTTTTATAAAACAAAATGCAAAAGATATTTAAGGTTTTCCCTATCTTACTTTGTGGCTTTGTGCCTGTTTCTTACTGGCTTGCTATTGAATTTAAAAGCCAGGGAGGGCTCAAGCAGCAAGCCTGGCATCCTGAGTTGGATCTCCAGGCGCCCTAGAGGAAGGAGAGAGCTGGCTCAGCAAGTGACCCTCTGACCACCACACCTATACCATGGCATATGCGCACCCATACACATACACAAAGTAAATATATAAATATAATAAGTATCTTGACTAGCGTCTGAGAAAAATAAAGTATATTAAAACTCTATATTATGTATCATTTTCATAGCTCCAAGCAAGCTGTAGAAGATTGAAAATCAATAAAGATTATTTACAGTATTATTTACTATCAAGCAAAATAGTATAATTGAACTTGTTTTTTAAAGAAAGGTAATCAAGGCCAGGCGTGTAAGTTCTGGGCCAACCCTGCTCTACATAGAGAATTTTAGGATGGCTTGGGCTACATAGTGTGACCCTCTCTGAAAAAGAAAAGGAATTATATGTGATTAATGTTGAGCCTCTCCATGCATCATTCAAACTTAAATTTATCCCTTTGGAGACAAAGGCAGGCAGATCTTTGTGCGTTTAAGGCTAGCCTGATCTACAGAGCAAGTTCCAGGCCAACCAGGGCTAAAAAAAAATTATTTTTACAATAAACTGAGTACTAAGTCTTTACATGTATTCATTTTTTTAAACCATATGAGAAATATATAGTTTATGTATATATTATACTTATATAGTTATTTTTATTTATTACAAATAAAACTGAAACTTTAAATAATGTGCTTAGGGCCCTATAGTATGGCACACCTAGTAAAACCAAGCTTTTAAATTATTTCCATTCTCTTTTCACTTTTGCTATTGATATGCTACTAGCATATGGTAGCCCAGGCTATGCTTCCACTCTTTTCCCATGCCTTCTTTCCCCTCACCCCATGCCCTCTGATGTTTGCTCTATGTCAAATTCGTTTTTGTATTGATCTTTTTTTCCCAAATATCTTTTGGGCTGTTTCAATAGGAACTGTGGGGAGAAATTAGATGCTGGTACTTTATCCGTCATCATGAACTGGAAATCACCACATTATTCAGACTGAGCATAATATAGGGGGTGAGTTTAACTTAAGTCAGGTTATTGTTTTTGGATAGATTATGGATTATTGTGTATGTTGTTAAAAATCATGCTTTCCTAGAAGACTATGTGCGCACTTCCTGAGTTTAGAACTTGTTTCAGTTGCATTCTCCTCAGACCTGCCATACCAAAAACTTTAAGATGTTTGGTTTTTTTGTTTTTTTCAAATGGTTTGTTTGATTGTTTAACTTTTGGTTTTGTTTGTTTTTTGAAACAGGGTGTAACCCAGCCTACCCTCATACTCATAGAAATCTTTCTGCTGTAGCCTCCCAGTTGCTGGGATTATAGGCATGTGTTAACATGCCCTGCTTGGTCCATTGATTTTATGACAAGGACAAAAAAAAGCACTTCTTTCCAGATGTAAAGGATAAGCTTTTGTCTGATTGTGCTGAAACACAGTTAGATAATGAGATGCAAAACAAAACAACCTGAATCATACTTCTTCAGATCATGTACAACAATTAGCACGTCAAGCATAATGATGTATGCCTGTACTTCAGCTACTTGAAAACCTAAGACTGTGCCAAAATAAAATAACATAAATACTCAGATTATAAATCTGAAAAAATCCAGCTACAGGAAACTTCTAAAAGAAAATATGAGGAAAATCTTTGGGAATTTGAGTTAATCAGAGATTTCTCAGAAGGCTGGTCTACTTTAACATGCCTATAATCTCAGCTCCTAAAGTGACTGAGGTAGGAGTATTACAAATTGAGAACCTGCCTTGGCTACACAGTAATAAATTAAAGGCAAACCTGAGTAACTTAGACCCTGTCTCAAGATGAAAAGTATAAAGAGAACTGGAGGGTAGGGATATAGCTCAGTTGTAGAGAAAAAACTTGCTTAGCACACACATAATTTCAATCTCTAGTAATGAAAAAAATATGACAGATAACTGCCTTACTATATAACAAGATCCCTCCTTTTAAGAAAACAAAAGGGGGATCCAGGCAAATGCCTTTAATCCCAGCACTCAGGAGGCAGAGGCCGGAAGATCTCTGTGAGTTCGAGGCCAGCCTGGTCTAGAGAGTGAGTTCCAAGACAGCCAGGACTGTTTCACAGAGAAGCCTTGTCTCGAAAAACAAAACAAAACAAAACAAACAAACAAAAACACCAAAAGGGAGAAAAATTAAAGAACAGAGGAAACCTGGAATGGTGAAAAAATCAGAACCAAAAGCCAGATGAAAGTTTGATTTAGTCCTTAGCCTTACAGGTCAGACCATTAGCCCAAAGCTCCAAGTTGTATAATGATTGCCAAAAGTTAAAGTTTAAAATCAGTGTCGGTGGGGGCTAGAGAGTTTGCCCTGTGACTAGGAGCACTGGCTGCTCTTCCCAGTTGCTCTACCCAGGTTCAGTCCCCAATAACCACATAGCAGATCACTGCCATCTGTAACTCTATTTCCAAGGGATCAGACACCCTCTTCTCACATTAGTGGGTACCAGTGTATAGACATATGTGCAGACAAAGTAAAAATACACATAAAATAAAATTTATAAAATTAAATTTTTAAATTACTTTTATTTTCTCTTAATATTTGGTGGAATGCAAATAGTGGTATTTAAGAATCCTGTAGGACATGACTTCAGTGAAGTACACCTCTCAGAAAACAACATACAGTCTAACACCAGTTACAAAAAAATCTTTAAAACAAAATTGCATACGTCATCTTATGTGTATGTGATTTTTAAAAAATGATTTTTTTTTCGGAGCAAGTGCATAATATACATGAATTATATAGTAGAATGGTTGACCAGTCGATAAAGAATAAACAAAAACCTTTAAGATAATTGTAGAGTTATTAACATCATTTTAATGGTCCTTACCTTAAACTAGGAATATATTCATAGGTTCAATTTGGTTGTCTTTTACAGTGCTACTATTTTAAAGTGTCATATATTCATTTAAAAAGCTAACAAAGTCTGGCATGGTGATATATGCCTGTAATTCCAGCACTTCGGAAGTAGATAGAAGCAGGAGAATCAAAACCTCAGTTAATGAAACCCTATCTCCAAAACAAAAATACAAGTACTGGGAACATGAATAGTGCTTTCCCAGTCTCCACGAGGTCCTGGATTTACCTAGGACTGCCAACAAATAAATAAAGCCTGGATTACTAAAAGTCTAATGAACATGGCTAGAAAGATGACTCCCGAAGTTTAGAGCACTTATTGCTCTTGCAGAGAGGATCTGGGTTCAGTTTCCAGTAACCTCATAGTCCCCTAAGACCATCTGTAGTATCAGTTCTAGAAGACTGAACTCTCAACTTTTAACCTCCACTGACACCCACCCCACATGGTTTTGATGTATACATGCAAGCAAATACTCATATACATATAAAAACATGTCTTGTAAATGCTAATCAATAATTAAGACTACCTTTACTATTAGTATGTGATTTTTTAAACATATAATGATGTCACTCTTCTATCAAATATCTCTTGTGTGTTTCCTAGCATTTGTAGAGAGCTTCAGATTTTCCCTAGCATTTGTAGAGAGCTTTCAGATTTTCCTTATCATAGTAAGATGACCATTTTATTGCCCAATTCTTTTGAAAGTAAAAGGGGTTATTATTAATTACTGTGGGGCCTAACTGAGACCTAAGAATAGACAGGACATATATACATCTGCTTGTAAGGTAGTCTGTGATCTGGTTTCTACTTATTCAATCTGTTTATGCCTATACTTATGCTGTGACAGCCTGTTCACAGTTTGTCAATAAAGCATACTTTGTAATTTCCACCCCTTTGCCTGTTTTTATATTATTCCAAGATTAGTTTATATATTTTTGTTTCCAGATTTGTTGATACCTGAGGGTACAATCAGTGGTACAGCATGTTCTTAGTATAGACTGGAACGTGGGTTTAGTCACTCAGCACTAAAAATAAAAATAAATATAACAATAATGGTTTTAATAATAAAAATAGGCTTAAGGTAGATGCTTGCTTCTCTAGAATGGTTTTTTCCTAGTGTTACCTTCTGTTGCTAACTAAGTTGTGAGCATCTCTTTTTGCACCTTAACACCTAACGCTGCTTATGTATACTTGGTTAGACCAATTATCATATCATAGTTTTGATGCTTATTCATCTTTTCATTTGATCAAGAATATATTTGTGTTTGAGCTCTTTTGCCTATCAGAAAGCTGAGGCCCTTCGTAAACAACTATTTTAAAATCCCAAGAATCCAGATACTATTTGCTAAACCTTTTATTTCAGTATGTTAGTGGCTACTATAGCACTTGGATATTGTACAAATGATTACTATTCTATGTCCTTTATAAATTTATATATCAGATTGTTCATATGATTGCAAAATATTACCTTTTCTCATGCTTTGCTTTGCTTTTTGTTGTTTTTCTTTAAACTTTTTTTGATTTTTTTTAAGACAGGGTTTCTCTGTGTAGCTTTGGCACATTTCCTGGAACTCATTCTCTAGCCCAGGCTGGCCTCGAACTCACAGCGATCCGCCTGGCTCTGCCTCCCGAGTGCTGGGATTAAAAGTGTGTGCCACCACCGCCTAGATAAACTTTTAAAACTAATACATAAACCTAAAAATTACACATAGTAAAGTAATATCTGCCTGTGATTCTCTTTTTTTTTTTTTTTTAAGTTCATTAGTAGAACTTGGTCATTGAGTCTTTAGAACAAATCACTAGATAGGAAGGAAGATGTTTTAGATGTGGGTTATAGTAATAGTGTATTTAGAGAGAGAAGGCTGGTAGTGCATTTGAACTGGTTAAACATGGGCTTGAGCCGGGCGGTGGTGGCGCAAGTTAGCTCCAGGAAAGGCGCAAAAAACTACGCAGAGAAACCCTGTCTCGAAAAAAAAAACAAACAAACAAACAAAAAAAAAACATGGGCTTCAAATCATGTATTGTCAACTCCTAGCTACACATTCTTTCCACTCTATAACCAACCTCCTTTCAACAGTAGTTTATACAGCAATTACAAAATGAATATATTTGCAGTGAGCTTATTATTGATATTTTTCTTCACCCTATCCTTTTTTCAGATACGTGAAACTAATAAGCCTGAAAGTAATATCTCAGCATGCCAAGGTTTAAATGTGTACTAACCTGATTTGTAATTCATTCTTTGGGAACTTTTAACTGTGATGACAGAAGTTAAACCTTTTATTGACTGGGATTTTGTACTGTAGTATTCCGTCCTTCTGATTGTCTTTTTAAATTGATAGAATCATGTGCTTATTGTGCTAGTGGCACACCAAAATGCACACTTCTCTCACTGCTAAAGGCCTATCGAACTTTTAAGTGTTGTTCTACTTCACCAAATTACTAGGTTTTTATAACATGATTTGTATGTTTGTGCTTTCCAGAACATTTTTTTAAGAAAAATATGTTACTACAACTTTTATTCTTTGTCATATTTGTTAAGTTTTTTCATTTATTAGATAGTGATACTAACTTTTTATGTTGACTTACCAATTTTAATATGTATATAGATTCTTTTTAGTTGCCACTACAGTCATAATATATAAGTGTTACCATCACACAAAATCACATCCTACTGTCCCTTTACCTTCTCACCCACATACAACTCCTAGGCACCAGTACAACTTCTGTTTTCCATTACTATAATTTTGTCATTTTGAAATTCAAAAATGTAGCCATACAATATGGAATCCTTTAGGACATATGTGTTTCAGTAAGCATGATGTCACCAATGAAAGTAAGGGCTCTGAGGTTAATCCAAATGGAAATGGTTGTGTGAACCAGTAGTTGCTTCATTTTTACTGCTGATTAATATTCCACTGTTTGGATTCTTCACGATTTGTTTTATCCATTAACCATTTGAAAGATGTTTGAGTTATTTCCAAGTTTTAACTGTCACAGTTAAGGCAATTATGAGGATTTGTGTGCAAATTTTTGTGAACATAGTTTTCATTTCTAAATGCCAATGAATACAATTTCTAGGTCTTGTACTGTGTTTCATTTTATTTTCTGCCTAGCTGTTT